TCCCCCCTGGAGGGTGATTTCTCGCTTTCTATCTCTCTGCCTCTCTCTGTCTTTCTGGGGAACACACGTGCCCTCTAGCAAAAACCTCTCCAAAAAAATGAAATAAGCATGTATTATTCCCAATATCTATTTCTTGGATGATACTTTAATCTCAACAACTGTAAGTATTTATGTCATCAATAAACATTCAGTGGCAACATTTTCCCTAATTTTTTTTCACTTTGTAAACAGTAGAGTTTTATACAAATATAAAGTCATGCACCCTCAAAGCTATCAACACAATAGATACTTATTCAATTGAACAAAACATCCTTAAAATGTTTTTTAACAATTTACAAATATATTCACAACATAATCTGCTGATCAAAAGACTCTAACAAAGTCTGTATGATTTACAATATTCTCATTATAGCAAGAAAAAGAAAATACACTTATAAAATGTGTTAGGCATTTAGTATGCCAAGTATTTAAATGATTATTCTCATTATGACATAAGAATAATACTCTCATAGTGGAAAAAGATAGATTTTATTAGTCCAACAATCACTGAATAGCTTCCAAGAAGTTCCAAAGTAAAGTCCAGCTATCCTTTCCATAAAATAAATAGAAGAGCAGCAACCTCTGGGTATCCCATACACATAAACTATTAGGATTCCATTTTTATTAATTGGGTCTTGAGTAAATTATTTGGTACAAAGAAAAATAAACAAAATTTCAGAAACTAGTTAATTTGGGCTAGTTAAACCGGCCCAAATGTGGTTTTTCACTTACCTGCTTATGTATAAGAAATTTCACCATAAAGTACATATTTTAAAATAACAATTATTTCCAACACATAAGGTCAAAGTGTTCACTCTTACCATAGAAGCAAAACTTACTGCTAAAAATAATCTACAAGAAATAATATATAAACACATAGAGCTTTAAGATAGACTAAAAACATCCTCCTATGTTCTATGAATAAAAATGCAAAGGTCTCTAGAACGCATGAGTGAATACACACACTTGGATTAATGTGGGATATGTTGGTATCACATGAGCTTGTGTAGACATGTGTACACCATGAAACAAACTGTGAAAATGTTTCTAGTGACACTATACTCTCTAGCCCCACCTGCTAGAAAGAAAACAAAAACTTAACGACTTTTCCTCTTTATAAATAGTTTTTAAGTGAAAAAACAAACCCGACACTCCTTTTTGCAACATGGACTGAGCTCTAAAAGATTCAGACAAGAATCTCATAGGTTGTTTCTCAATGTGATAAAAACACGTAAGTTTTCTATTTAGGAATTCTGATCATCTCCAGTATTTTGTCTTAAAAACTGCCTTCTAAGATACACGAGGTAGCCATACTGGTTAAATTCTTCCTGCTGCCCACTTTATACCTGGTATAACCATATGGTTGGCACCTCGTAGCACAACATCCATGATAACTGCCACCAACCACTTTACTCTGAAGGAGAAGAGAGCACTAAAGGCAAAAACCACCCATATCACTGGACAGGCAATAAGTCCTAACCAAAAGATTATTGATTCAGCCTCTCAAACAGTTTTATTCTCTTGAGGGGATGTATTCCTGGATTCAAACACCCAATGGCTCTTTATATCTTCATCAATATGATTCCACCAATACAGGCCCACCATTAGTCTACCTGTGACGTTCTTCACTGCCCAAAAGCCACATGATAATAACAAGATAATTGTCACTGTCACCATACAGGCTGCTGCTGAGCAATTCACACAGAAGATAGACTATGACTTTACTGACTCAAAAGAATAAATGGAAAAATTATGCCACTGGATGTCTGATTTTGGTTTCTTTTTGGTCTATTAGTTACCTCTTCTTTGGCATCAAACAGTGAAACATCTTCAGTGTCATCATTACTGTCCTGCTGCAACATGAACATTTTCTTTATTGTCTAAAGTTCAGTCAGTCACTGACCTCACCACTCCTTATTGCTAATGATATCATGTTCTCAAACTGATCTATGAGTAGGTGACCTGGTATAAGTTATCAGAAGCTCTAAAACAGAAAAACTACCAGGAATGGACAGAGTACCAGGGACTCTAGTCCCACATGTCATCTCAACATCTTTACATATCATTAAAGGACCATCCCCTTCTTGGCTACACTGTCCTACTCTCACTCTGTATAACTCTTTTCTTTGTGAACCATTGGTTTAAAGTAATCAATTTCTTATTTATGTTACAAACATTTGGAGATGTTAATCTTTCCTTTGGAAGACCCATAAAGGCAAAAAATAGAATCTAAATGGTCTGGAAGAGAAAGAATATTAACAATATTAACATCAAAACAGATCATGCTGAAGTCTGGCTAGAGTTAGAAAAGGCCACCGTTTCTGCCCAACAGCCTTACTGAATAAAGATGGAAAGAATATGAATGCATATCAGTGAAAAACAAACCCCAACAGGAAGTTAACTTTCTTCATGTTCAACAAATTTCTCTTTCCATAATTGTATGTTGCCCTTCATCTTCTTTCTGCCTTTTCTTATAAGTGTTCAAATATGGCACGATTACAAGCATTTTATCACAAACAATATCTTTATTTGGAAAACAATGAGAAATTGGATATTCACAAACTTATAATCCTGGCTGAAAATATTATTAATATTATGATATCAGTATTATTATTTATCTATTAGATCTGGCCACTTCGGAGCACACATAAACCTTTGCTATCATCCTTTTTCCATATCATCAGCCAAATATACTAGGTCATCTCTTTTCTTTTGAAGAATGATTTCCTCCACATTATGAGTTATGCAAAAGCCTTTAAAAACACTTTTAGGGCCAGCCAGGTGCCATGGTAGTTGGGCAGCTGGATCCTATGTGACTGACTGCACAGTTCACATCTTGGAACCAGCAGCTTGAACACATGTGGGACAAGTGGACTTCTGTGTCCCAAATCCTGAGATGATAATGGAAGAGATAGGATTGTGGTATAGCTATTCCCCTGGGGATTGTCTTCTCACTTTCCCTCTCTGTCTGTGGCAAGTGCACATATCCTACAGCAGAATTAAAAACACACACACTCTAAACTGTCTTACTCATAGTCAAGAACTCAACATAAAGTCTAATACTCATGAGAAGGAAACAGGCACATATAAATGACGAAACCAGGACGGGGTACAAACTATTATATAACATGGGACTTTGTTTCAATCAAAAAATAATATTCAATTTCTTTCTACCACTTAATAAAATTTAGAGAGATTTTTGCTATAGGACATGTATGCTCATTAGAGACAGAAAGTGAGAAATCATCCCCTAAGGGGATGGCCAAACCACAATCCCTTCTCCTTCATTCTCCTCTCAGGATTCTGGGCATGCACACACACATGCCTGGCATGAGTTTCAAGCTGCTGGGTCTGGGACTCAAGCCATAGTCGACCACACAAGAGTCCAGCAATGCAACCATTACACCATCTGCTGGTCCCACCACTTAAATATTTTAATATTAATAATATAGCTCTTAGGATAACATTATCATCTTTTTTCTTTCTTCCTCCAGGATTTGTACCTAGACAAAAGAAAACAAATACACTTTCTGATGGTGACTACAGCAGGAAGAACAAGGAAGAAGGGGTTCCTACTATAATTAGCTTTACAGAAATCCATTCTTCTTTCAATAATAAAATAAAGACATATTTCAGTTAGTATCTACTTACAGCATTCCACAATGAGCTTATCTGTGTCATCAACATCCAGGCACGATTAACTTGACCACAAGTGATCACTTCTCTTAAACTGAAGTAGAAGAAAATCTAAATACAGAGAAAAGAAATACATAATGTTGAAAAACAGGTAAACTTTTAAGTAATTCTTCTACTTACCTTTTGTGTGTATGTAACCGCCATTATACTAATAATGGCAATGTTAATAACTACCAAATGCACTTAATACATTTTAATAGCAGGAGTTTAAGTGGTCACATTTTTTAAAGACTTACTTGTTTAATTTTATTTATTATTATTTTCAAATTTGCTATAAGGACACATGTGGTCACCAGAGAAAGAGGTGGGGAGGAGGGAGGGAAAGTGAGAAAGCAAGCCACCAGGTCCAGGACTTGAACCACAGCTGGCCATATGGGAGCCCAGCACCTTAACTACAACATCACCTCCTGGGCAAGGTGGTAGCATTTTATCTGAAAATAGAAATTTTATCTAAAGTAATGAAATTTATTTGCTAATGCCTGTCATATAATGTAATCTTTTTCATTGATAGCTATGGAGAGATGGTGAGAAGGATAAGCATATTTGTTTTATTTTGAGAACTAAGGTGAAATTCTTCCAGAAAACTAGATATTTCCTCAAATAGTAGCTGGTATGTAGACAGCATTTAATAACTGCCTGATGAACTGAACTGGATATATTTTCTAAAGTTATAGAATTCTTGGGAAAGATCAATACACCTGCCTTGACTACTATGTAGCAAAAATGGTAGACTAGAAAACCAGGAACTCTCCTGATATAAAGCATCAATACATGTTTTTTTAAAAATTGTAAACAATATAACTAAGTTTCCAAGAAAGTAAGGAAAGTCTCCAGGGCCCTAATTCTTACAAACTCAGACTAGCAAAAAGGTACTCGTGCTATAGTTGCTTAGGATGGGAAAGAAGAGGGATGGCTGCTGCTTTTTATAACAAATAGGTTCTGATTTTACAGGCCATGGTGGGGTGGATAGAAGAAAATCACCAGGCTTGTACAAAGCTGGGAGTTATAAATGAGTTAGAGAGAGCGAGCGAGAAAGAGAGGAATATAAAATAGAGTAGAAAAATAAATCTACCTCCTGGTAAAGAAAAACTAAGGTGCCTATCCTAGGATAAAAAGAAAATCTCCCCAAAACTTTGTAACCAAAGTCCAGCCATCATGTGTATTAGAATTAGAATTTTAATTCTTTGAGAGATTCTATTTTAATTACTACCTTTGTAACTAGATTTGATATATTAACATGCAAATACATTCCAAGCTTATAATAATGCTGGGATATTTGGCAGAAATATTGTCTTTTTAGAGACATGGACTTAAACCAGGCTTTAAAGGATTTTCATGATTAAGCCCCAATGAAACAAACTCTCAATCAAAAATTGTAAAATACAAGAGCAAACAAAATTGCATAAGCATTAACAGAAATACTAGATCATCAGAAAAGTCATGACATATTTTCAATAAAAATAATAATATAACTAATAAAATTGTTCAATAGTTATTATTAAGATCTGAAAAGTGATAAAGACATAAAAATAAAAACAAAACTCTTGAAAATGATGTTGTCAACAAAGAACTGGGCCAAACTGTGCCCAGAACCTGTGCCAAGGTCCCATGGCACAGTGGTTAAGGAAACCAGGTCCCACATAGCTGACCATTATCAGAATCTAGACCAATCACTGTAACTTAAAAAAACATGCCAAGAAAAGGTGCTTACATGCCTAAAATCCTGACAAGATGGAGATATGGAGAAAGAGGAATTATGATGTGATCACACCCCATTGGGTGGTTCTCTCTCCTCTCTTGCTTTTTCTCTCTCTCTTGAGCACATGCACCCTCTGGCAATGAAAAAAAAAAAAAGAAGGGGCATTTTTCATAAAATAACAAGATAAAATTAATGATTAAAGAATATAATTATTGAAATTTAGTGGCAGATAAGACTCAGCTGAAAAGAAAACCAGTGAAATGGAATACATAGCTAAGAAATAAAAGAGCATAAGGCATAAAGAGATAAAGAGATGGAAAATACAAAGGTTAAGAGACACATTACATAGTATGAAAAGTTTCAACATACATATTTATAGAATTTCCAAAAGAGAACAGAGAGAATGGAATCAAAGCGAAATTCAAAAATACCACAGAATAACTGTTCTAGAGCTAATGAAAGCAACAATTTCAGCTTCTAGAAACACAAGTAGTTCCAAACGGGACAATGAAGCAATACTCCTGGTATTATAATACAATTGCAAAAGTTCAAAACAAAGAAAAATGTTAAATGAAACCAGAGAAGATCGTCTACCAAACAATCTCCCTGAGAAACTAACTACATAAGGCAGAAGTCAGCAGAAAATAACTGTCAATCTCAGGTACCATACGCAAGTAAATTATAATTCAAGAATGAACACTAAGGGAACCAGCAGTTAGCGTAACGGCTATGTTGCTGGACTCTCACATAGTCGACCGCGGTTTGCGTCCTGGACCCGGTGGCTTAAAACTCACGCTGGGTGCATGTGCATGTGTGCCCAAGATCCCGAGAGGAGAATGGAGGAGAAGGGATTGCAGCGTGACCATCCTCCCTGGGGGATGATTTCTCGCTTTCTGTCTCTATGTCTCTCTCTGTCTGTCTGGCGAGCGCAAGTGCCCTATAGCGAAAACAAAACAAAACAAAACCCTCAAAAAAAAAAAAAAAAAAGAATGAACACTAAGACATTAAAAGACATAGATTAAGGTAGTCTGCTTCCAACAGACCCTTCAAGAAGAAACTTCTAAAGAGCACTGAAATCAGAAGAGAATGATTTGCAAGTAGTAAAAACAGGCAAAAGATCTAATAAATATGTGATATGCTACTGACCTTATAAAATAGTAAAATGATGATGACAGATGTGGAGGTACAAAAGAAGGTAGAACAAAAATACTACATAAGATTGAAGAAAGTAATCAATGTTAACATCTAAATTTCAGTTATTCAAAAAAGGAAGTATAGCTATTAATTTACTTTAAGACTTAATTATACATGTTAAATTCATGTATTAAAACGTTTTTTAGCTAATCAGTGAATTCACATGTTAAATTCACATGTTAAAAATATTTGAGAGTGAGTTCATTGATTAGTGTCCATTGGCTGAGGGTGACTTGCCAGGACTGCCATCTGGAGGGGGGTAATTGGATCAGTGACAGTTGGCTGACAGCGAACTGGCTGGACTGGTCTGGAATCAAGGTCCCTTATCACCTGCAATTCCGCCCACAATCCTGCTTGCTGACTACAGCTGCCATGCTTCAAGATCAGAGAGTAAGCTCTGTGGGAAGGAAAAAGGCCGCCAGGCCGGAGAGGAGACCCAGGGTTTTAAAAGTGCTCAGGCCCCTACAGCAGAGGAAGAAGAGTCCCCAACCCACTCACTCCTCTTCTATCCTGAGGGGTGCTGCCCAGAGCTCACCAGCTGCTGGCTCTCCTCAGGAGCCTAACAGTGCTCCACCGAACATCAGTGATGCTGCTGCTGCAGGTGATCACGGCACAGTATCTAATAAAGGTGTGAAGAGGCAAAGTAAGAGAAACGTTAAGATCCTCTGAAGTTCTACCTCTCATTGAGAATTCAGAAAAAGGTCCTCTAAATAAGAAGGCAGTGATGCTGGTGCAGTTTCTGATGTACAAGTATAAAATGCAAGAGTCCATTAGGAAGGGAGACATGCTGAAGACTGTCAACAAAAGGTACAAGGAGGATTTCCCTGAGGTCCTAAGAGAGCCTCTGAGCACACAGAGCTAATCTTTGAACTTGACTTAGAAGAAACTGATCCTTGAGGGCAGTACTATGCTTTTGTTAGCAAACCAGACCTCACCAACTGGGGTGGGAGCAGTGGCTTGGGCTTTCCCAGAAAAGGGCTACTGATGACTCTCTTGGGGGTGATCTTTTTTTATTCTTTCAAAGAATTATTTAATTTAATTTATTTATTTGACCAGAGAGGGGCAGAATAAGAGAGAGAGAGAGAGCAAGCCACAAGCCACCAGGTCCAGGACTCGAACCACGGTTGGCCATATGGAAGTCCAGCAACCTTAACCACCATGCCACCTGCCAGCCCTTCTTGGGTGTGATCTTAAATGGTAACCAGGCCACTGAGGAGGATATTTGGGAACTCCTGAATATTTTGGGAGTCTATGATGATGAAAAGGACTTCATCTTTGGGGAGCTGAGAAAGCTCATTACCAAAGATCTGGTACAGAAGCAGTTCCTGGAGTACCAGCAGGTGCCCAACAGTGATCCCCCACACTGTCAACTTCTGTAGGGTCTCAGAGCCCATGCAGAAACCAGCAAGATGAGAGTCCTGGAATTTTGGACCAAGGTCAATGATACCATCCCCTGTGCCTTCCCATCATCTTATAATGAGGCTATGAGAGATGAGGAAGAGAGAGCCCAAGCCAGAGGTGCAACCACACCTGGCACTACTATTACCACTGCCAGGCTGAGTTCCATGGCCATGTCCAACCATCCAGTTACTACTCTCATCTCTAATGAGGACTAAGGCAGAATTCTTTACCTTGTGATCAAAAATACCTTTGTTAACCTTTGTTCTTGCTAATGCTTAAAAACTTGACTAATCCTTTTTTATTTTTTAAATGATATAACTGGTGCTCCTTTTAAGAGAAGATTTATTTAAATTCAGAATATAAGGATATGAGTGACATGAGACACACATTTATTGGTTGTTTATCAGGTTTAGTAGTAAGAGTTTTGTTTTTGGAAATACAAATTGGAAATCCTTAAGTATTACTATAATTCAGAGCAAGATAGCACAACATTAGACTAGTTATATACTTGAAAAGATGAAAGACTCTACAGTAAAATAATTGGGATCAGAAGATAGAAGAAAAAAAGTAAAAGTTGTTCAATTCTTGTTTTACCTGACTCCATTTTGTCTTTCTCTTTGTAAATTTAAAAGATATATACCCAGATTTTTTTGTGATTCAAGAATGTGTGAAAAATTAAATTATAAAGAATTTTTAAAAGTATTTAAGAGTAATCAGTAAAATAATAGAAATATAATGTATATTGGGATCAGCAGTT